AATACAACTAACAAGGAAGTTTGCTGTATGGACAAACTACCAATAATTCGTGCCGCAAGGCAGTGATATGCCATACAAATTAAAAAATTAAATGAATAATAGAGTTTAATTACAGAAAGTGATCACAATTCTTCTTGCGTATGGCGGCAGTATCTATAAGTCCAAGTCTCATTTCGAGTCAGAAGTCAAAGCTAGTTTCCAACTCATATAGCACAGCCGTTTCTCTAATACGACTACTCGTTTTACGGCAACTGATAATGTAATCGATTGTCTGAATGAGATAATTGCAGTCACGTGCAGAGCTTCTTTTGTGCCGCCACTTGAACATATGGTGTTTGGTCATGGCGTGGGGTGGTACGGTTCTGATCAATGTTTCACATTGTTTCTTGGCCACCTGGAGTGGATGTCTAGCAGTTGACTCGTGGATTAGCAATTAGGTGCGTGTTTTGACGTTGGAAATTTACCAGTCGTCGTTTAACGCTGAAAGTCTACGTCGCTAGATCACTGGCGATTCGTCAGATTGGTTTCAATAAATGACGGTATCACAGTGATTAATTGATCTGTAATGTTGGTGGTCCTGAATTTTGCAATACTCTTTGTAGGCAGCTTAAGCGCTTTTTGATGCCAAGTCGGAGTTTTTCCGAGAGTGCCAATCGCTATTGTAGTGGAGTGCTTTGACGCAGTATTGTGATGAACTTTATGGTGCTATTAAGGATGACATTGGGACACCTGCTACCTGATTAATACCTGTTTGTCTAGCCACGCCAATCTATTAGCTGCGGAGTGTATGATAGCCAGAGCTGCTTCTCGCATGCCATATGCGCCGGATCTTATGATATGTATGCGCATTATGCGGTTTTTCGCAGGTGCTTTTTTTGGAACATAAGGCTGTTCAGAGTTTTTCTGTGTAAACTTAGTTTCTCATTCAGTCACTACAGACGCACTTCAAGAGTCATAAACTCTTTTTCTGTTGAGGGGAAAGCTGTCGGCAGCAGTTGAAATGTTCGAATATCTTTGACATAGGTATTTAAGCAAGGAGACAGAACTTAAACCATGCAACAATTAGTCATGTGGTGAATTCGCTGAGCTGACCCTGTCATCCAGGTCCATATGAAATTTTCGGTTGCTCATCTTCGGGGCGTGTGATGCTCCGAAATTTAAGAACTTTACTTTCCTTATCAGTATCATTTACATTGCGCATGGCCTTAGTATGACTTCAAGACTTAGGTAACTATACTTGACAGTAGCTTATTAATACAATGATGGATCAGGCAATTGTTGTACTCAGTGTTACAATATATTGTTGTCTTTATTCGTTCCTTTTCCCCGTTTTGATAAAAAAAGATTTCACTGATGATACCATTCCTGCAATAAATTTTCATTCTTTCACCTTGTAGAAACTGTCGAGACGATTGGGCTTGCGAATGACGAAAACAATGTTGCGTTCGATTTTAAAAATGAAAGTGACAAATCCGCTTTCTATAAGTTTCAGCATTATTTCAGGCTTATAATTATTCCTCGCACTTTAGTTTTAATACGGATTATCAAAGGTCTCTACTGACCTCGTGAAAAACTGTTCAACACTGCAAATAATGAATGTTCCGTTGCTATCGCATGAAGTATAACGGAAGATCAGATTGTTCTCATTCTTCCAGCACCCGGATCGAAACGTTTTTAGCTGCTTTGAATCGAAGTGCAAATATCGCTCTTCCATGAATGTTTCTTATGCGGTTATCGCCAAGCGTGATGATGTTCCGGGTGTTAGCAATCATACGTGTTTACTACTGGTAGCAGTTTTACTTATTTTCTTTCGCTAATCAGGTATGAATGAAATATTGAAAGAAAATGGAATATGTAGATAAAACTCATAGATGTAACTCTGAAAAGAAACTTAGCGAAAGAAAATTTGGATCCATAATCCGTCCAAAGAACTATTTCCGATGCATACTTAGAATACCCAAGAATAAACTGAACTTCGAAAAGTTTTAATTAGTGGTAAACGGGTTTCGTCAGTAACATCACTAAAATTTAATGGAAAAAGTCGTGACGTTGTTACACCGTGACAGATCTCCTAAATGGCAGTTGTGCCCGTCAGGTAGCAAATAAAATGTTATGTAACAAATTACTAACTGCGCTCCAGCTTTGACGCACGTTAATGAATGACGAATGCTCATTCTACCTTTAGTTTTCGCGCGATATACATATAAAGTGATTACATTATTGAAGATTTAAAGGTTGTATTGCTTAAATAGAGACAACTCTTGGTTTATAGCAAAAATAAAACAAGAAAAAATTGGCATCAAACGCTGGCGCAACTGTACCTATCACGATGTCGCATTGCGCGATATCAAGCAGTGTTGTTTTTTATTGCTTCATGGTCTCTCAAGGTGCGCACATACGCTGGGATGATTGATCTTCTCATAGCTCCGTCCGAAATGAAATATTGAGACCTAGTGAATTTGCTGTGGGACAGGCGCTGCGCAGGAACCTCATGAACGGGGTCGGCACTTGTTAAGAATATAATTCTTCAATCGAACGGAGTGAGAAACTGCTGATTCGGCAAGGTGTTGTGCTAGGTTCTAGTGTAGAAGGCCACTAATCATATGTTTAGAGATCGCTTTATCGCTTTGAAATCGCAAACTTGCAATCCAGGAAAGATGACAGCGGCTGCGTAGGAGTACTGAGGGAGAATGCAGTCATCTGTCCCTTGATGTAAAAGGATAACTTGCAGCAGCAGCTAGAAAGGGACTTAACATGTTAACGCCAAGAGAAGTCAAAAAACAAGATCACTCTTAGGAACCGGATGTGCTGTACTTAGAGTGTTGGTTGGCTTTCAGTGTCGAAGATTCGTGTTGCGACGTCAACCAGCACCTGTCTTCCGATGTTGAGCATCACACAGATCCATTCTTTAGTCTTTCACGGATTGAGAATGAGCCCATTGTTAGAGGAAAGATGGCAGTTCGTAGATGCACAAATTTTTTTGATA